ATACCTCGTGCATAAATAATTGAGAACTGATAAAATCGTACCATTAATCTAACAATTTTTGTAGTTGTGGCCGTATTGAATTACATCGGTTGTATTGTGGTGAAGTGTATTATCGCCATATCTCCTAGTTGTGGCCATATTGCATTTCAAAACCGTACAGTGTAATACCGAAATATCTCACTTTATACTTATCCAAGACAATATTTCAGTTAAGGTTGTATTGCATTAGATGGGGTATCATATATGCAACCTTTTTAAAGCCTTAACTCAAAATTGGAATTTTTGGAGTTGTGGCAGTATTAAACTAGATGTACGGACGATTCCCCTAAAATTTGTCAGATTTGCTACATATAGTCTAGACTACTATATATTGTTTGCCAACAACCAAAAGACTTTTTATTTAGCCATGGCTCAGAACTCCTGAACCATATTATTCCTTCTTAAATAAATAGTAAGTTATTTATGACAGTGCTAGAAATTCCTCTGAAGGATCCAGATTAGGATCATTAGGACTTATTTGGGACAGAGATAAAATATGTGACCATATCGCCTTCCATATTAAATTGTTATTTGTAGATTCAGATTGTTATTTGTAGATTCAGAATATTCACTCATTTGGCACTCCTTCTCTGCCTCGCTTATTCTGCCTTGTTGCTATTATATGCGATCACTAGTACGCTAGATATCTGAGGCATCGCGTAGGTAAGGCAATCTCATCATAAATTAGACTAGTTGGGGTCTAGCTGTCTGGCGATTTTCCGATTGAGCATGATACACCAATGCCAATTACTAAAATCAACACTTAAGGGGTGCCAATCGTTGCCTTACGTTGTAAGTGCCACTCGAGCTAAAATACGTTTTATATGATTAAACCGTTGTAGATGCCGACCTATACTTGCAATCTTGTAGTCAAAGCTTTGAGATGTCCCCACCTTAAATACTGATAAAAAGAACGTCAGAACATTGTTAGTACCTTATCAGTTGCAATCACAGTTGCTACAATAATAAGTCTACGCAAAATGGCAGACAAAGTACTTGAGCGTGTGACTGTAGCGTCAAAAAAACGTGTTTTAAATACATTAAAATGGAAAAAATCATCAGAAAAGGCAGTAGAAACTTAAATATGTATATAAATTCCAAAAATAAAGCAGTAGGTGAAAAAAGTGAGCCAAAGGAGGTAAGTTCTGATAAAAAATATTTTTGTTGTGATATTAAGGTACCATTTAAAAAACACTTATCAATGCTATATTTTTGGTTTTTTTTATATTTCTTGCTTAAATTGTTTTTTTCTTATTTATTTATACTTCTCATTCCTGCAAGTGACAACAGTAAGTTCGTTGAATTCCGCTTCGTAACAAACTTCAAATAATTGGCAAATTACAAGTTTAAAAATAAGTGGTAAATGTGTTGGGTTTTTGTTCGGAATTTGCAGCTGTCGATACATTGATTGCCGGAAATACTGGTTGAGGAGAAAATTGGGATTGGTACAATTCCAATGAAGAAAACATTTATGAAAGTTGTGAGGTTGGACGTGAATAGGAAACTTGATCTGGAGATCAAGCATGCTATTTAGGGTGGCAGTGAATAAAATTAAAATAGCTATGATGGTAACCAACGTTCTGAAAGGACATGGTACATGAAGAAGAAGAAGATCTGGAGATGGATAAGCCCCATAATATAATAAAGAGCGCTGTGAAAGTTGTGAAGGTGGTCGCGTTAGAGAATTTTAAGTGTGTGAAGATTGGTGTGGATCCTCGATAATTTTTCTTTTAAGGGTCTGTCGCATAGTATGATTGTGATCTGGAGGTGGCTGACACTAATACGAGTCAGTGGTTGACTGAGTTATCATCTGACCGAATTGTGCCATATTAGCCTTAAATAATAGGTTACCAATTTCAAGCATAACTACATTTCGTTTAACATAATCTTCTAACTCTGAGCCACCAATTGTCCATAAAGTAAGCAGAGACTGCTTTTCGTATTTTCTCCGTTTACAGCAGTTTTTAGAATGGTGTATGTCTTATCCATGCGCTTCTGTACTACATCTCTAGCCTTTTTTGTTTTACTTTTTGGTGGTGTTTTAAACTGACCTAAAACAGCAATGTTTGGGCGCGTCGTGTAAATACAAACATAAATAAAGGCCAGCACAGACTAGTCAAGTGTAGGCGATACTGGCGATCCCTTTGACTTGAAAAGATTTTACCGACAGGCGACGGGAAAATAGACAGTGACAAATAATTGCTCAAGTAAACCATTCACACGACATGACAAGTATAGGCAATTGACAAATATTGGCCAAATATACCAGTCGTAAGAATCCAGCTTAAGGAATTCCTACGCGTTTTTTTTTTGTTTTTGGTAAATAAGAATGTAATTAGTGCCAACAAAAAATTAAATATCAAAATAAAAGCCACTAAGCGAAATAGATACAGATGAAGAAACGAAACGTAAAAAAAGCGACCAGGATGAATATTTTAGAAGAAGTAAAATTGCCAAGCGTACACCTTCTAAAAGTGACACGGAAATAAAGGAAGAGAAAGAGGATGGTATGGTTAAAATGATGTAACAACTAATGAAAAAAAAATAAAGAAATGATGAATAAAATAAAGAAAATAAGAAAAAACAAATGGAAAATAATAAACAACTACAAGAGATAAAGAAGGAAAATATAAAATTTAAAAACAACAATAAAGATAGAATGGAACAACTGGAGAAAACAACTAAAAAGAAAAGTTTTATTATATCGGGTTTAAAAATTGATGCAAATGATTATAATATAATGATGATAAGAAACTAAAAGAAGATGTCTTATATCATATTTTTCTATGAAAAGTTTTCGATTATTTTCTGTTTTTTTTTCAAATAAATCTAAAATTCCAAAACTTTGTTCCAAAACTTGCTCAACTGCTTGTTATTTTATTTTTGAAGATTTTTCCGCCTCTTATTAGGAGTAACAAAACCGGATATATTTCCTGCTGCAACTTCGCGACTCTCCTTTGCAATATTTTTGATGCTACACATGGAATCTCCTGAAAATGCAACCCAAAAATCTTATATTGAGTACTATTCTTGTCTTAGATTATTTATTAAATTACCTGTCATGCTAGATGCTCTTGTACTTTTTTAAAGTCAATAAGAGAATTATCAGCAGCTACTTATCACTAAGCGAATTTTAACACAGTTTATTATAAATTTCATTAGATTAAGCATTCTAAATCTTTCGCTTCACTTTACACTGTTGATACATTTTTAGATTAAATGAACAATTACTGGATTTAAAATCACCGTTATTGAAAATTAACAAAAATTAAAATCATAAATGTGTTGTCTGTGTAAGTCCATTTCAAATGGGTAAAATGAAATAAAATAACTCTTACTCACAATCAATTTAATTTTACCACCAAAATGACCGGTTTCATATACTACAATTTACTAAGCATCTTTAGTTCTAACGGTAAATTAAACGCTGAAATTACAAATAACCCACACTAGGGTGCTGTCTTATAAAAATTATTCTAATATTATATGTCTGTGATTATTGATATGAATAAAATTGATGATGCAAACAGAGTAAAACCCACAAATCGGTTAGAGGAGAGATATTACCATTTGTTAGTATGTCTCCCCTCAAGAACTTAACCTCTGTACGGTTAAACTGCAAAACCTCGTAAGTCAGTTTTATGTAACTTTACAGGAGATACGAAAAACGTTTTGGCTTCTTGACTTAACATTTAGATTTCTCATTTTTTGAGTGTAAAGTTCTTTTGAGCTAAAAATTACACTACTCTTAAGTAAAATTAAGTAACATTGTTTTTTTTGTCAAAAAGCCACTTACGAGATTTTGCAACTTAAAATCTTAAACTGTCAGTAAACTTACGAGGTTTTGTCTCAAAAGAAACACTTCAGAGGTTAAAAAAAAGCAATAAATTAAATTATTTTTAAGTAAATTATTACATTACATCACCTATGATATAAAACTTTTAAAATATTCTTAAAAACTAGTAGTGACAACCAATCTTCATACTTAAAAAGTAAAAAAATTAAAACCAAAATTGCCGTAGTTTATAAAACTTGCTAATATTCACTACTAAATTAAATTCTGTCCATAAGAAAGAATAAAAAATAAAAAATAACAAAAAATAAAATTGTGATACTTTATAACTGGCTAATATCCTCTATTTACTCATGAAGAAGAGACTCATAAAAATGCCGAAAATCTTTAGGAATAAAGTTTTTAATATCCTGCAAATAATTAAATTTTATTCATTATAATCATTAGGGATATTTTGTCCTTTTAAGCATTTGTTAAATAGTGGAACCAATATTTCATGTAATATTTTTACCAACTCAATTGATGTGTCTCTAGGTCCTGCTGCTTTACCGTTTTTTAATCTTTTTAGCGAATCGCTAAAATCTCCGGTTGTTATCTCAATTATTTGTGTATGTTCGGATATTTTTTCCAGTTCGATCTCTTGGAATTTACATCTATCCTCTGTCAGTAAGACCTCTTAATGGTGTTTCCAGTGTTTCAGATCTATTAACTATAAGTTATATTTTTCCTCTTCTTCCCGCTGGAGAGACTTTATTGCCTTCCACGCTTGTCCAACTCTTGTTTCTACTATTACTACTTCTTTTTTTACATCTCGATTTCATTTTTTATATATCTTGTAATCTTTCTCCTTTCTCATTGATATATGTTTCTAATCATCAGTTTTCTTATTGTTTACTAACGTTTGCATATTTTCCAAACACCATTGTTGATGTTTTGTTTCATGTTTATTTTCATAACCCAAAGCTTTATTTACAGCCTTTTGAATGCATTTTTTAAGTAGCTGGTATAATTTTTATGCTGATATATTTTCTCGATCCACATTTTGTAATTTTGTGGCCAATCGTAATTTGTAAAGATATTTCGTTGAATCTTCTTTTAAGCTTTCTGGTTTATGTTTAAGGGATGTTACTTTTGCCATTTTTCTATATTAAATAAAACTAAATATATTAAGACAATATTAAGAACATTTATTTTAATTTCAGTTTTATAATTTACTTTTGGTAATAATTTTCTGCAATAAATTACAAGCCTCTTCAGCGCATCCTAATGATAAGGTGATTCCAGATCCCCCATGTCCGTAATTGTGAATTACTTTTAACTCCTTATCACCGTGTGGCAAAGTTTCGATATCGAGTCGGACTTGGCTTCTTCCCGGTCTTAAGCCAACAACATCTTTAAGATATTTGGCTGATTTAAGGGAGCGATCTAACTGGTTACAATCTCTAAAAATAGCACAAAGCAACTTAATTATACCAAATATATATATTAACGGTTATTTTATAAAAATTAATTACCTAACAATATTACTTTTATCAGTCTCGGTAACAGTAGTGTCATCTACATCGTAGTTGGCCGTGCCTCCTAATGTTAATTGAGATGTGTTAGGAATTATATAGCATACTTTAGGTTCGGCGTCTAATACACAAGATTCATATATCCAAGGTGCTTCGACTTTTCTTACTTGTCCTCGAATTGATATCATTTCCTGGTCACCTAAACAGCAAAAGTTGTTATTAATCTGAAGAATATTTGAAGAAGAATTATGAACAAAATATATTTCTGTTCATAGAATCTTTGCATAATTATTTTATATTTTAATTAAACATATTAAGAGCGTAGGCGCAAAATTTCGGGACAATGCTTTTTAAATGCATTTATTTTTTTCGAATCCTAAGAAAAATAATAAATATTTTCGAAAAATTTAAACGCCGAATGAAAGACTACATTATTACCGAGGGCCGAAAGTCCCTGAAAACTTCTATTGTGTTTATTTTAATAAGTTACAGGGGTAAAAAAAAATTTAGTATGATTTTTAATTTCAAATATCTCATTCAAAAAAACTTTTTGGTTATTCTAAGAGATTTTCGGCACTCGGTAATAATGTAGTCTTTCATTCTGCGTTTAAATTTGTACACTTGCGAGCATAAAATTAAGTTCTCACGTAATTAGAGATATTTTAAAAATGTTTTTGGGTTTTTTTTTTGGAATTTGAATTTTTTTCAGTTGTATTATAGTTTAATAACTGATGCCACATTGTAACATTTCTATTTGAGATTCATCCGAAAGTAATAATAATAATAACCCAAAGTTTAGATAGGATTTTTTTCTCTCAGAACTTTCGTATATATATATATATATATATATATATATATATATATATATATATATACTGGAAGAAATATATATATACTATGTATATATATATATACTATAAGAAATACTGGATATTAGTGACGGTCGATATAAACAAATAACACAGTTTATTAGGGTTGCAGTCAGAATCTTGGCCGGGATGTTAAAAAAACACTCTTTTGACTTTTTGTCGAGCTTTCGGAATGGTTTTATTCCTTTTTCAAGACACTGTAAAAGACAATTATGTAAATATTTGAAAAATATCACAATTTTTCAGTGTAACTTACTAGTCGTTGAGATTATTTTTGGAAGCATTTACACTCAACATTTATACCACACATTAAAATATACAATTATGGACATAATACATCATAAAATTTTTAAAATTTGTTGTAAAAATAGTAAAACTTGATTGATGGCATGTTTTACTGGTGTATATTAACTCATACAGTGAATGGAAAGAAAAAACAGTGTAATTAATGTGTAATTAGGTGTAATTGATGTTATCTTTCTTTACAAGAAATACTGGAGGCCCTTCTTAGGTGAATATATATATATATATATATATATAATATATATATATATATATATATATATATACATAAGTAAGAAAAAAGAAGTACTTGTGACTCGTTTGGAAAAAATATAACACTGTTTTTGATGGGTTGGAGTCAATAAAAGGGCTATTTGTTGACTATTTTTTACTCGATCTTTCAATTGTGATTACAATTTTTATCAAGAGCTTCTAAAAAATACAAAATGTCTTACAAAGTTGAACTAGAAATAAAAAATGAGTTAACAAAAAAAAAAAAAAAAAAAAAAAATTTAAATTTTTTTTCTAGTTCAACTTTGTAAGACATTTTGTATTTTTTAGAAGCTCTTGATAAAAATTGTAATCACAATTGAAAGCTCGAGTAAAAAATAGTCAACAAATAGCCCCTTTTATTGACTCCAACCCATCAAAAACAGTGTTATATATATACATATATATATATATATATATATATATATATATATATATATATATATATATATATATATATATTATATATATATATATATATATATATATATATATATATATTATATATATATATATATATATATATATATATATATATATATATAATATATATATAATATATATATATATATTCAGGATTCTACAGTGTTCACTGCCTTCCCTCGGTCAACTATGTCCATCTCTCTCTGTTATCCCATCCTCTATCGTTTAGGCCTCTCTTACTCATAGGCGTCCGTCGACTTCGTTCCCCCAGGATCTTCGAGGTCGTCGTCTTTTCCTCCTTTCTATGGGGCACCATTCGGTTAGTTCTTCTTACAGGTCCATACCACTTTAGTCTACTTTGTTCTATATATATTAGTATATCTGTTTCTGTTGACATTCTTTGCTTTATTTTGTCATTAGGTACTTCTCCTATACATTCTTGTTACACTGAGCATCTTCGTAGGCATTTCATTTCTGTTGCTACTATCTTACTGCTGTTTTTCTTGTTTATAATTTAATTTTCAGCCCCATATGTCATAATACTTCCCACTAATAATTTATAAATCTGTGTTTTTGTCTTCATATTTAGATGTCTATCCTACCATACTGAGTTGTTGGATTGCTGTTCTTATTTGTCCTAATCTTTGCATAATTTCTTCATCTGTTGTTGCCTTTTTTGTGATTACAAACCCAAGTATTTGAATTTATCCTTTCCTTTGATTGTTATGTTATCATCAATCTGTAGATCTTCTATGTCTTCTTCACTTGTGGATAAGTACTCTGTTTTCGCGAAGTTAATATCTAGGTCAGCCTTGGTATATTCTTTTTGTAGTTTCTTTATCATGTAATTAGATCGTCTTGGTCTTGTGCAATCACTACTTGATTGTCTGCAAAGCTTAACGCATATAGGTATTCGTTTCGTACCGGTATTCCCATGCGTTCGTATTTTCTTTTCCATCTAGTCAAGGCTTTTTCTGATTATATTTTGAATAGGGTTAAAGATGTGGAAGAACCTTGCAAAAACCCTTTTGTTATGGTGAAATCTCCTATAATTCTTGTATCCATTTTAATGGACACTTTATTTGCTTTATACAGAGCTTTTGTAGCTTCTATGAGTTTCGTCTGTCTTTCTAATTTGTACATTTTCTTCCATAGTTCTGACCTTGGTACAGAGTCATACGTCTTTCTCAGGTCCACAAATGTCAAATGTATATCTCTATTTTTTGTTTTTTCTTTTCCAACAGTTGTTTCATTGTGTATATGTGGTCTATGCACGATCTTCTTGCCGTAGGGCCTGTCTGATCCTCATCGAGTTTGCCTTTTATCGCTTGCTCTCTCTTTTCTCACAGTATATTCCCATATAATCTTCCTATTGATGATATTGCTCTTATTCCTCTATAGTTTTTGCATCTTTTTCTATCTCTTTTCTTAAAAATAGATGTCATATATGCCTCCGTCCATTTCTTTGGGAGCTGTTCTCCATTTAAGGCTTTCTGAAATATCCATTGTATCATACCGTGTAATTTTTTTGAGCCGTATTTTATAAGCTTAGTTGAGATGCCTACAGGCCCCGGTGCTTTCTTATTTTTGATTGCTTTTATGGCCGTTCTCATGGCTTATCTGTTATTTCTATTTCTTGTTGTGGACAACTGCTTCGTCTTCGCCTGTTTTCTTTTCCAATGAATTGTAGTCTTTTTTCTGTAAATAGTTCCTTGTAATATTTTTTCCGTTTTTTGTCCTGTATATTTCCCAATTTAATTTTTTCTTTTGAGTTTTGTTTTAATCCTCTCAGTACTTTCTGTGACTTCAAAGTTCTTATACATAATATGTATGTTTCAATATTTAAGCAGGTTCTTTTCCATTCTTTATTCTTTTAATGTGTTATTTGTTTTTTGACTTCTCTATTTTTTCTCTATATTCTTTATAAACTTCATCGTTGTTTGTGTTCAGCCATTTTCTGTATAGTTTCTTTTTTCTTTAATTATTATTTTTGTTGTTTCATTTTTATTCATTCATATTCATTTCTATTCTTGTTTGACTGTTATGTAGTTTATTATCGATTTCAGCTTTTGTGTTTCTTGCGTCCATGTATATTTTTGAATATTTATGAATTAGAACTTTCGTAAATTCCAAAATTTTCAGCCGGATTAATCGCCGAAACAGAAGATGAGCTACAAAGATTACCACATATCTTCAATACAACAACCCAGAAATACAATATGATAATGAAACGTCTGTTAGATATGGAGAAAAGCAAAAACATAAGAAGACCATGCCATATAGAAGACATAAATTGATGGATAACAAAACGGAAATAGAAGTGGAACGTACACATTAGTACAATGGCAGAGTATAGAATAGTACGAATATCACGAGATAAGTCACCAAATGGACGAAGAAGTATTGACAGACCAAGAAAAAGATAGTGCGATAATTTAAACAATTAAGGAGGCTAATATTGAAGAGGAAACAGGCTGTAAAGTCTACATACAAAAAGAAGAAGAAAAAGAAGTGTATTCCCATCAAAATTAGTAAATATTATTTTATTTTATTTTACTTTTTTTTATTTTATTTTAATAATAAACACACAATGCACTGCCTTTACTACTCCATGTAGAGTGTAGTCGGGCGCAGTGTGGTGTTGCGCGATATGTCGTTACAGTCGTTATTGTCGTTACAGTCGTTACAGTCGTTGCAGTTTTTTTTTTTTTTTCACCCCTCGTGTGATCCAATGCTCAGTCCGTAGCCTGTAATAAGAAAGCTATGCTTTCAAAACAATCTGCACTTTGAAAGAAAGGATACTCTTAGTTATATCTTAAGGCCCAAACATACTAGATAAAAATGGGTAAAATCATTACAAAATTTATAGACTCACCTACTATTTCTTTGGCTCCAAGTCCTGCACAGTTAATAATCACATCAAAATCAGCTAATTCTTGTAGTTTTTTAACGGCCTTTATAACGATCTTTCCTCCATTTTCAGTAAATTGTTTTTGAAGTGTTCGCAGGAAAAGAGCACCTTCCCAAGTGAAAGAGATAAAATTTATTCCAGCGGTTAACTTTACATCTAGACGGTTACTTAACTTAGCTAGTTCATCTTTGGGAAGAATATAATAGCCTAACGTACAGTCTAACCACTTTGGAAGTTTAAAATCTAATTTGTCTGTTAATTTTACTGATGGCATTAAACATACGCCATATTTTCTTGCTTTACCTAAAAAAATAATATTTAAATATATAATCAATAGTAACATTAAAAACATATTAGTTAAAAAATATTTTAATTTGACCTACTCAAATCATGGTCGTTAGTTATTATCACATCCAAATACTGGAATTCTTTAACACATTCTAAATTGTATGTGTGCATAACTAAAGTGTGCCACACTATTTATTCTTCTCGTCATTGATGTTTATCCCCACTTATTTACTTTTTTTTCTAGTCTCTTCAATATTCCGTTGTTTTAGTTGTACTACTGAGTACAGTGTCTATTGGGTCAGCGTATCTCAAAATCATGGCTGGTCTGTCGCTGGAGTCGCTGGCCTGCTTTATGTTACCCTCTTTAATGGCCATATCTAACACAATGTTAAAAGTTATTGGTGATAGTTTGTCGCCTTTTTTTAAGCCACTAGTAATAAAAAAAGTGTCCGTGGTATGTTTCTATAGTTCAACGTTAGCCGTTGAATTCGTAATAGGTTTTTATTGTTAAATTAATATTTTTACTTTATATCACTATACTCTTCATGACTATCTACACACAATCCCTTACGATATTGTCACTATCTTGTCGGACATCTATAAACAATTGGTGCTTAATCCCAATTAGTTTCCAGCATTTGTTTGTTGGTAAAAATCTAATCTACTTTTGATATTTTTGGCCGATAGCCGTACTTGTAGTCTTCGAGGTTATCTTTCTGGCATACCGGGTTCTTCTGTCTCTGAATGTATTTGATACCACCTCGTATACTACGTTAGGTAGCGTGATAACTCTGTAATTTTTACACACTGTTCGATCATCTTATTTATAAATGGAAATAATTATTATACCTTTCTTTCATAATTTTTACAGTTTTTTAAAACTCATATGTTTTACACCAAGAATTGTATCTCTGCATTCAGATGCTCTGTATTATATTTTATGAGATCTGCAGTTATGGTGTCTCTATGAGCGATTTCATTGTTTTTTTTTTTAGCTGATGGATTGCATTTTAGATCTCAATAAGCATTGCAATTCTACCTGTTTTTTTTGTTTGATATTTTCTACCTATGATGTTGGCCATACATCTTATAAAGTAGGTAAAATATTATTTACATGTTTTTAAAACCTCTGTTATGTGTTACGAGATAATTATTTTCTTTATTTAATATATTGGTGTATTGCATATAATCTTTATTCGTGTTCTTGATTTCCTTCCTAAAATTTCTACTCTTGATTTCCTTATATAAACATCTTTAATATGGTTTTGTTCTTATTATTTTAAGCTAGTTGTCATTCATTGTTAAACCAGAGTTTTTTTGTATTTTTTTGTTTAACGTTTTCACGAGACCCTTATTATCGACAACTGATCTTTTTTCATCACTCTTCTGTAACAATTCTATTTGTGGCATATTTTTTCTAATTATGCTCTTATTTCTGTCTGTTTAATCTATTTATGCGTTTCGTCTATATTTAATAACTCTGTATTCCAACTCGTCCGGTCCTTTTGTTCTGGCATCATTTCGTGCTTATTTATTCTAGCCCGTTATCGTACTTTAACCAGGAAGTCGTCTGTCTGAATCTGTAATTAATTCCAATACAAGTTATTAACTATCTCTAAATCGCAACAATTTTGAACATTCTCTTCAATACCTTTTAAGTTTTATGTTGGATCCAATTAATAACCATCTTATTTGGTGTATAGGAAACTATGGTCTGGGAAATCAAAACGAGAGAGGAGACAGTCTGTTACAATTCTGTCAAGAACAAAACTTTATTATTACAAACACATTTTTCAAGTTACAAAACAGACGACTGTGTACATGGCGATCGGCCGCAGATACATCAGAGAAAGTAGTCAGCAACCAAATAGACTACATTATGATCAATGAGAGATACCGTAATGCTGTTAAAGCCGTGATAGCATATCCTGGATCAGACGTGGCCTCAGATCACAATCCACTTATCGCCAAGATTACACTCACCCTTAAAAATATTAAAAGATATCAAAGAATCCATACAATAAATACAAGAAAACTTAAAGTAAAAGAATGTCTCCAACATGAACTGCATGTGAATTGCAACAAATTAAAAACAAACACAAATGATATTGATGAGTACTGGGATCGACTAAAACATTGTCTACTGGAAAAAATAAATAGTTCTATTAATAACAAAGCCACGTAACTCAATATTTCTTAGTTAGGAATCTAAACCTTGGCGTATCTCTTCTATAGTAAAAACATTTATAAACAGATACACCTATCTGCAAATACGTTTATGTATTGCTGTTATGAATCTCTTTTGGTTAGAAACAAACAAACGTAACTCTTGGTATACATTTATTATTAGCATCTGGTAACGCTGGTTGACGTTAGTTTGTAAACTTACGACAACAAGCACTTGTTTCAACGGGTTTGTATGTTCTTGTTAAATTTTAACTTCCGTTATATTATCAATTTAAGGTAACGTGTCGGACATGTTTCTTGTAGTAAGATTCGGAATGCGGTGTTACCGGTTATAAAGTTTTTATGTTTCCGAAAATATATTTTTTCCTTTTTAGAATATCAGAATAAAGAGCCTGCAAATGAAGATTCGTCGGATATTTATATTGCTTCTTCTTTTGAAAAGACGTGTTTACATTTCATATTGCCTCTTCTTTTGATAAGACGTGTTTACATTTCATATTGCCTCTTCTTTTGATAAGACGTGTTTACATTTCATTAAAACCTAGGAAAAGACGCCAATTCATTCTAAAAACACATTCTGTAAGTAGTTCTAGTAGAGAAAAAGTTCCTTTAACGTCAGGATTCCAGCCAATAACTGAATGCACTGTTCAATCGAGCAATACACTTACAGATGAAGTTTTTGCTGTATCAGTCGAACAAGAGGTGTTTCAACATCCTAATCCATCGGTTGAAGAAATATCTAAGACAACTCGAAACAAACGACCTGTTCCCTCTAAATGGAAACAAAATATTAGAAAGTGTTTACGGCAATCCGGAAAAGCCTATATATCGATGAAAGATACAGAAGTAAATGCTAGTGGTGTCAAACACAAAGATTATACAAAGTGCCCCAGAAAATGTAGAAGTTTTTTCGGAAGATCAAAGAATAGAAATTCATAATGCCTTATGGGCCTTAGGAAATTCAGAAAAACAAAGGCAATGTATATCAACGCTGGTTGAGGTGACGACCATAAAAGTCAAAACTACTGGCGAAACCATATCCTAGTGCTGATGCAAATTCCGACCACAACCCTGTAGTAACAAATATTCGCATAAGAATTAAAGTAATAAAAAATGCAAAGCCGAAGAACAAACCTAATATGGAACTACTAAAGGATATACAGATTAAAGAATAAACCACTGTAAAACTAAATTAAAAACTCTCAGAAATAGACCAAACCCAAATAAATATCCAAACTATAAATACAACTTGGCAACAAATAAAATCCATCCTCGTCAATTCTGCAAGGGAAGAAATTCCAAATACACGATTATTGGCAAAAAAAGACTGGATGACACCAGCTATTCTAAAGATGATAGACGAAAGGAGGAAATACAAAAATAAGAACACAATCGATTACAAACGAATAAATACAGAAATACGAAGGAAAATAAAAGAATCAAAAGAGAAATGGCTCGAAGAAAAATGTAAAGAAATAGAAGAATTAGAATATAGACATGATTACTTTAATATGTACAAGAAGGTTAAAGAATTTTCATTCATCCACAAAAAACAACATTGCTCACTGGTAAATAACAACGGAGAGTTAATTCATAACACCAAAGATAAAATAGAAGAATGGGAAAAATTTATACAACAGCTGTTCCGAGATGAAAGAATAAACACTACAATAAATAATGTTACTGAAAGCCCACCAATTCTAAAAGTCGAAGTGGAATACGCCATTAAACAATTAAAGACCAACAAAAGCCCTGGACCTGATGAAGTTTATCCTGAAATACTTAAATTGATTGAAAGTAATAACATTGATTTGTTAGTAATTTTGTTTAATACAATCTACGATACTGAGGAAATACCAGAGGAATGGTTAGAATCTATTTTTATTCCCATTCCAAAACAAGCTAACTCCAGGCGATGCGCAGATTTTAGATTAATAAGTCTTATGAGCCAAGTGCTTAAAATTCTATTAAAAATACTTCACAATAGGGTATACAAAAGGTGTGAAAAAGAAGTTGGATACGATCAATTTGGATTCAGAGCCGGAATGGGGACCAGAGAGGCCTTGTTTTCACTACAAGTACTGCTGCAGAAGTGTTACGACCAACAAAAGGATGTCTTTCTATGTTTTGTAGACTTTGAAAAGGCATTGGATCGCGTAAACCATAATAAAATGTTAAATTCCTTGCAGAGCATCAACTTGGATAGTAAAGATCTCCGATTAATTAAGAACTTATATTGGAGGCAGAGTGCCAAGATAAGGATCTACGATCATACATCTAGAAATATTAGTATAAATAAAGGAGTAGGGCAAGGATGCATACTATCCCCTATGCTGTTCAATCTTTACTCGGAACTACTATTCAAGCAAGCCTTGGAAAACCTTTCCACAGGAATAAAAATTAATGGAGAACCAATATCTAGCATAAGATATGCAGATGACACTGTCCTACTGGCTGATACAGACACAAACTTACAGGGGGTTATAGACCACCTCAAGGATGCTTGTCGAGAGTTTGGAATGAAGATCAACGAAAAAAAAAAACAAAAGTAATGGTGATCCAAAGAAAACAGAATATCCCCTTACCTATAAAAATAAATGGGAATATTTTTAGAACAGGTAAACCAATACAAATACCTTGGCTGTCGGATTAATTGCAAGCTGGACCCAGAACAAGAAATTAGAGCGAGAATTGCTCAAGCTAGGGATAGTTTCTTTAAGATGCGCGTTCTATTTTGCGATACACATATAAATATTAAAATGAGATTAAAACTTGTAAAATGTTTTATCTGGTCTGTTCTTCTCTACGGAGTCGAAACGTGGACTTTAAAAATAAAGAGCCTGAATAGAATCGAGGCATTTGAAATGTGGGTGTACCGTAGAATTTTAAAAATTCCTTGGACAGCACGAAAAACAAACGAAGAAGAACTAGCTAGACTCAATGTAGAAAAGGAACTATTGAGAACAGTCAAAAGAAGAAAAACCAGTTATTTAGGGCATTTGTTGCGCAACGAGAAGTACTACATCCCTCAGTTGATAATAAAAGGCAAAATAGAAGGAAAGCGAGGAATTGGAAGAAAAAAATTGTCCTGGTTACGTAATATCAGAAACTGGACATGACTTGGATTTGAGGAACTCTTAATAGCAGCTGAAGATAGACAAACGTTTGCCATCATAACCGCTAACCTCCATTGATGGAGACGGCACTTAAAGAAGACTGGCGAAAATTCCGTGGAAACGTGCAAGTATGTCAAGGTTTCTTGCTTGCAACACTACATATATCTGAAATATGAAATATTTTAAATGATACGTACGAAATATTTTAAATAATAGAAATAAGGCCCATATTGTTGTACCCAGCAGAAGAGGAAAGCACCAACCCGGTATTACTAGACCGACTGAAGCCAAAGAAGTGATAGAACATCGCATACTATCATTTTCTAGCGTACCATCCCATTAATGTCAAAAAAAAAGAACAAATTATAAACATTTAGCAGAAGATCTATCGCTTTCAACAATATATAATTTGTATGTTGATCGTTGCCATGAGCAAAATTGTATCGCAGAAAAATTATGGCGCTATAGAAATATTTTGAATAATTTAAATTTCAAATTTCATAAACCACGTAAAGATATGTGTGATTTTTGCGTCAAATATAAAAATTGTAGCGTAGAACAAAAACCTACGTTATTTCAATTACACATGGATCATATTCGCCGTAAGATTGCAGTACGCCATTTTCATGATGCTAATAAGTTGCTAACAGAAAATACTGTTAACAACTTTATTCAAATAGGTTTAGAGGCTGTGAGATATTGTCCCAAAGTATCGTCAAAAGCAATATTTTATAAAGGTCTACTTGCTGTATATAATGCCATAATCTATGATGTAAAGTCAAGATGTGCATCAAATTATATGTGGCATGAGGGTATTGCTGCAAGAGGCTCTAATGAAATATCATCAAGTTTATATAAGTATTTGTCAGACCATGCTAATGGTAAAAAATTTGTCATCATGAGTGATATTCCCGAAATTGAACATGGTTGTTTTGAAGCAGGACATTCAATGATGGAATGCGATTGGGTTCACGCTCATAAGCAATCAACCAAAAACTTAAATATATATCATCCTTATGGGTGATATGCAGCGGTCGGAATAGCATCAAAACAATCCAAATGCAAGATAATAGAGATGAATCAAGATATGTTTTTTGATGCTGCAGCTTTAAAAAAAGAAATTATTAACAACACAATTTGACACTGATGGTTGACTGGCTAAAAATAACCCTACTTAAGTATATTAAACATGATCCAAATCATATTTATTTCAAATATGACAAGACCTACCCTGAATTCAAAAGAATCAAACTCATACGACGGATGACAAGGGGAATTACAAATTATAATAATTTAAAACTTCACAAGGTATATACTCATCCTATAAAAGTGGCTGCTGAAAAATTGGAAGATTTAAAGTACCTTTGCGATCAAGGTGTAATACCACCTCAGTATAACTGTTTTTACGAAGAGTTGAATAGTGGTATACACACGGTGACGCTGCTTTCAGACACCTCAGACAACGAATAAACATCTATTAATATTGTGCATAATAATTTTTAATTTTAGTATTTATTTAGATGTATTTTCTAGTTTACGTATTTTATAAATAAATAAAGCAAGTTTATTGCCTAACGTAACTTAGTATAAAAAAATCACAGTTTCTATGAAGAGATAACTAGTGGTATACAGATGGTGACGCTGGATTCAGACAACGAATAAACATTGATTAATATTATGCGTAATTAATTCTTAATTTTAGTATCTATTTAGATGTCTTTTTTTAGCTTTTGTATTTTTATAAATAAAGACAGCAGTCTCTTGCCTAACGTAACTTACATAGTATAAATAAAATCAAGGATTACATTACTAACATATAAACGTATCTCAACATCTTATATACTAAAAGGCTAAGCCATTTTCTTGTGCGCAATACTCCTCCTAAACGGTGATAAGATGGGAGAACAATTTTTTCAAATAATTAAACAGATTGTTGAGTAGATTCCCCCTTAAGTTTCAAATTTAAAAAAATTCGAACCGGTTTAAAAATGGCGGTCATAAAATGAATTTTTCCTATAGTAATGTATAGGAATTTTACAGGTTTCATTCTTCAAAATTTACAGTCCTAATTTTTAATTTATTTTTAAAATATGACCGCGTCTACTTTTTTCTTATACTTACTAATTGAATTCAAAATTATGAAACCGGAAGTATTTACTTCCCTACTTCCGGATTTAGTTTTGAAAATTATGGTTTCTTTCACGGTGTTCCAGAGCATATGAACGGGGCCGCGAGTTCTCAAACCGAGCTCTTTTCTTAAACGTGGCATTTTACAATCTAAAATATGCAAAAAAAAGTTACTTCCGGTTTAACTTCCATTTTTTATTTAAGAGGAGCGGAGTCTAACAATCATATTGTTTCTGCTTCCTAATGTAAATCTTCCTGAAAATCCTAAAAAACTACTATATCGATTTTTGGAACATTTACACCAGGCGACGGAAACGATGGATCGTTAGACTCCTCCCCTCTTAAATATCAGCAAAACTTACATCAAAACTCGATGTCCAGTAAGTCCGCTACTTAACACAAAAAACATTTTTTTACTATATACAAAAATATTCAATACTCTATTCGTTTACAGTTATATGATCGTCAATAATATATAAAAATTATTGTAGAGTAATAATTTATGAATATTTGAAATCAACAGTAATATCTCTTGTAAAACAAAACTAAAATGTGTTTATTGATATTTCTCCATAATTAAGAAAATCGAGATACGTTTCTTTGTTAGTAAGGGGATGAGTTATAGCTACTAAAAGAAATAAGTTATGTTTTTATTCCATTTTATTCAGAAAGCATCGACCTCACTGTTCGGGATCTGTAAGCTAAATGATAAACATAATCATAACGTACTTATTGCTAAATATCTTGATAATTGTGAAATTTTACATTCTTGTGCTTGTTATTTATTTTCTGATATTTGTTAGTTATTGAAAATACTGAGCATTAAAAAAAATAAACGAAACTATACAATTAAGTGTATTAAAGAAATCAGTAACATAATTTTAAGTGAAATTATGTTTTTTATTTCATATATCTTACCCTCTTTCCACCATCTTAGTAATTGCTCATATGTTTCCTGAGACCAATAAGCAATTTTATCCTCCGGAGTGTCTCCCAAAAAGACCGGTTCCCACAGTCCAGCTGCAACGTCACTCGTCGTGTGGGGACTTACTTCTTTCGTGAAAATTGTAATGTCTATATTGGGAAATTTTCTTTGAATTGCCAATGCAGTCGTTAGTCCGATTGCACCGGCGCCGACAATTGCTACTTTCTTACTCATGCTGATCGACTGGAAAAATGAAAAGGATAAATGCAAGGCAGATAGTTGAAAGAAGTAATAAAAGATTTATATACAGGGTAGTTCAACAACAGAAACATCAAACAGAGATTTTTTAATAAATTATAAAATAGTCATAAATTTTCTACTGAAAATTTTATTGTATAAAGAAGACTCTTTTCTTGAGTGGTATACACCACTCAAGAAAAGAGATACAGTACTCGTTGAGAATGAGATAAACCCATAATATTGAAAACTGATATTTACAATATATTATGGATTATGTAATGTAATGGGAACACCACTGTCGCCAAATGTACAACTACTGGGGCTCTGCTGTCACCACTGTACAACTAGCGGGAGGTTATATCCCCTATTGTAACATGGTGAGAAAATCCTCACCACTGTACAACGCTGTTACCACTGTAATATACTGGTAATGAACCTTAAAGGATGCTTATCCCTGCGAGCGGCTGCAAGGAATACTGGTCCCACTAGTCTGGAGGGCTGGCTCGCCTTCGTGGATTTACGAGAAGGTAAGGAACTTTGGAATAGGGGTTAAGGACTTCTAGGTCTCAGGTCCTGTAAAGAGTTTGAGTCTATGGGCTTACTTTAGAAGCCGGATAAATGTATAAGCCGAAATTTGGTACTCTTCTGGCCTCGTTCTGAATCGGTCGGAAGGAACATTAAAACCAATTTTAGAGTCTACAAATGTATTGAATATACTATGTGGTTTACAATTAAGTTAACAAGCTGTCAGATATAATTAATAATAACTCGTTCGGCGCGAAGGGAGACGAGAAGAGATCTTAGCAAGAAAGTAAAGGGGTTACAATCTGTAATACTATAATTTACTCGGGTTAGTATATAGAATTTTGTTACCTTTCGCGTATTTAGGCTCTAGCTAATGATACGCTCTTCAGTTCCTCTGGAAATCGGATTTCTTTCAGTACTCGACACTTATACGGAACTATACCCCGTCGAAATATAACAATCGCGTGTAATCCGCGCCTGGTGCGGACTCTCGTATTAACAACCCTGCCCGAAGACACCGACTGCCTGATCATTACTGATCGCGTACTGGACGCTATGGCGTCCGACCCGGAGCCGGCGATCACTGCCTGAGCGGGCAGTCACGGTACCCAGCTATCACTGACTGCCTGGTTGACCAATTTTTTTAGTTTTTATGTCCCGCGAACATTCCTAGTTTATTTTGCTGATTCTGCTGTACTGTTCCACGTGTTGGAATGTAACATGCGATGGTGTGTCGCTTCGTTGTATTAATTTTCACGAAGGTCTTCAGATTCGTAATTCTTAAACATTCGGGCTTGTGTCAAACTAGGTCAATTGTTATTATTTGTATAATTAAAAATGTATACGTTACTGTATTTAATATGGAATATATAATAATTAATTGAATGATTATTATTCCCCCTATGCTACTAGCCCTTATTTTTTCTATTTTTTATTTTCTTGCTATGTTTACATTACAATTATATAGTAGGAGAAAGCATTCTACAGTGGTCAGGGTCTCTACAGTGGTCACCCACTGTTTTTCTAATTATATGAGCTAAAACTTTGCGCTACCTATTTCAAAAGTAACGAAACAGAACGTCTGTTCAACCACAAATTAACACCTTAATTTGCAATCTCATATTATTCTTAACTTTTTAATCTTTTATAATTTCACCGTGTATAAGTGACATTGTAAAACCATATCGTATAATATTTTAACAATTAGTTCGTTTACCTACAACTAAATAAATTGCCGATTAATATATTTTCTAACTGAACTTTTTAAGTGTCGCAATTAAGGCGTAGATTAAATTGTATGGTAAGCAAAGTTTGTTGGTATGGTATGATAGAAAGCAATAACCTCTGTGCTGAGACATAAACTGTTTGTGAGATTATAAATTGGGGATTTGAACTCAATTGGACACAGTCTATCATAAGTAGTTACCTCAAAGCTACGTTCGAATCTTTCCAACGCCCAAATACGTGCTCTGTTATATTTTCGTTTTCTGCGATAGCTTGAGAAGAAGAGCCAAAAATGGTTTTTGCAAGACAAAAGTTTTTTTTGTGGAATATTTTGAGAGGAAAATTGCTGACACGGGAAGCAACAGATAATAATTTAAGTATTTTATCTAATTTATTAGGATAGACTTAATAATTTTTGCATTGTATTTAAGAGGTTAGATTTTTTAATTTTATTGATAAAATTCCTACATCGGTTATCCTTAAACGTTTCTACAATGGCCAATGATTATTTGGGTGTGGCCACTGTAGAGCATGAGTTTTAAAGTTTTTTTTGACTGTAAATGAAGTGCGCCGTGTCTTAAATGAGTAAAAATTTTGTCTTGTTTTGGAACAAAATGCCTGGTCAGAAGACTATTGCTAGGATAACTCTATCGGAGACAATGAGAAACGCCCTTGATGACATTAAAAATAATGGGTTGTCAGTAAAAGCTGCGTCTTTGCGGCATTATATACCCCGACCTTCATTACGAAGACATTTCGAAAAATTCAACGGTGTCAGTGATATTGAAAATATATGGATTGATTTAACCCCTATTTATACGGTAAGTATATAATAATATATAATATATGGTAATATTTTCTCCTACAGAGAAAGATCAGATGTGTAACTATTTACAAATCTGCGCCAAACTGCACCTTGTATTGACTCAAAAGAACCTGTGAAAACTAGCTTACGAATTGGTGGTTAATAATAAGAAAAAGTGTCCACTTTTACGGAATTAAAATAAAATAGCTGGAATACTTTTGTTGACCAAAGAAATCATCTCCCAATTAGAACTGCGAAAGCTACCTCAATAGGACGAGCAATGGTTAATATTAAAATTGTACAAAATTTTTTCGCCAAGTACAAATTCTGTTCTAGCGAAATTTTGTTCATGGATACATTATAGTCAGCGCATAAAAGCTGGTTAGCGCATTATAATATATAATGCAGCAAAAATCCTAGATCAGTTTGACCACTTGGCATTTGTATTTTGGATTTAGAAAGATGGGAATATTTTCCCCAAATGAAGTTATTTTCGATGGCAGTGACTCTATTCCTTTGACTGTAACAGACAATGAGAAAAAAAATAAAAAACATTGTCGTTATTATTATTTTTTGACTGACTCTAATGAACGTGAAAGCGTGTGCCAAAAATATTGCGCCTGTAGTTGAAACTGAACTGGAGTATCGTAGACACAGTGGTGTTTATACCGGCTTTGACCATCGCAAAGGAACACCTGCTCCAAATCCAACATCCGCTTTGCAAGTTTGTCATATTAGGACTTATATTGAAATGTTTTCTCGAATAGCATCCCATTATTGTCGTCGTGATACTATGAGGCATTATAAGCCAAGTGAATTAAATATCAGTGTGATTTATCGTTTATACTGCAGTGATTATTGTCCCAAAAATAATGTATTACCTGTTAAATACAATGTATTTAGATCAGTATTTATTGGTTATGATCCACCTTTATCATTTTATAAACCAAAAAAAGATCAATGCTTAACATGTAACGTTTATAATGCTACAGATAAAACAGAATTACACAGTCAACGGGAGGCACATAAAAAAAAAAGAAAAAAGTGGAATTGAAATAATGAAAGCTCCTAACAAACAGAAAGCCGTTGACAATAAAGGTAAAACATGTTCAACAAATACATTTGACTTACAATCAATACTAAATGTGCCTTATGCTGGTGATAGCCAAATAATATGCTACAGACGTAAACTTTCCGTCTACAATTTCACAATTTTTTACGCTTCCAATGCAGATGGTTATTCATATTTATGGGTCGAGACACAGGGCAAAAAACGATCAGTAGAAATTGGAAGTTGTTTGCTGAAATATTTGCAACTTTTACCCAATACCGTTACGAATGTTTCCATATTTTCAGATACTCGTGATGGACAAAATCACAGCAAGTATGTTACTGCTACGTATGATGTTGTTAAAACAGATAATCTTTAAATAATAGATCTAATATATTTGGAACCAGGACATACATACTTAGATGTGAAGTCGATGAACGCTACCACAGAACGTGCTCGAAAAAACAAGAAAGTGGACTCCCCCCGTAAATGGAGTATTCAAATACAAATGTCAAGGCAAAAACCTCGTTACATTGTTAACCAACTTACATACTCCGAATTCTAAAATTTAAAGAAGTTAATTTCTAAGACTATGATAAATACTATCTGTGACACCAAACGAAAATCAAGTGAAATGGCTTCAAATTAAATGGTTACGTTTCACAAAGACAAATACGACAACCATTTTGTTTAAGTATGATGTTACAAGTAACGACTTTTTAAAATTGAACTTAGCGACATAGGCACAGGCAGGACGAGAACACACAAACAGTGTGAAAATGTCCATGATGTACATCTTGAACAACAGTATAACAGTTTTTCGCCAATAATCCATCCAATCCAAAAAACACCTTCTGTGTCTCTTACGCGAAAAGGTAATTCCAGATAACAGCAGAAACTTTGTAGAGACATTACCTACTGTACCATCTGTAAAGACTAAATATATTGTTTCAAGTGATTCTGAGTAGAAAGCAGACTAAGTTTTAATTGTGTTTGACTTTATGCATATTTTTCTGTTAATAAAAAATTCATTTGTACTGCTATTATTATTTTAAACTTGATTTTATGATAATATCACAATTTTAGTATGGAAATAATGATATATTGTATTTCTATATTCTTCTTCTTCATGTATTCTATGTCCATACAGAGGGTTACTTTTAGCTTGGTAAATGTGATTACAATTTAACCGTAATAAAAATAGAACTGAATAATATATAAAAACAGGTGTAACATGAACTGAACTGTAATTAAATTACTTTTAAAAGATGTACGGTTTGTCAAGGTTAACGTAAACTTTCAAATTAATATTGCTGAAAACATCAATTGTGGACATACAATATTTGTCCTTTTAGCGATCGATATACTAATTAAATCTTTATAAAATAGTTTTTTTAT